CAAAATCAATTTAATGTCCTTGTTTGCTAATTCTGTCATCTGTGTAATTTATGTGTCTATCTCAATTTATTGCTTTTTATCTTTGTAATGGGTTATATTTGCCTGCTTCTTCCATGCTTGATAATTTCTTTTAGTCCTCACCCAAAGAAATGTTTATTAATTTTAGAGAGCAAGGTAGGGGAAAAGAGAGAGAGACAGAGACAGGGAGGGAAACACCCATGTGAGAGAGAAACATCAATTGGTTACCTCCCATTCATGCTCCCATTGGGGATCAAACCTGCATCTTAGGTATGTGCTCTGACTGGGATCCAACCCACAGTCCTATGATATGCATGACAACGATCAAACCAGTTGAGCCAGGATGCATGCCTGATAAATTTCATTGAATACCAGACATTGTGAATATTATTCTGCTTTTAAAGTTTATTCTGAGAAGTTAATAGGTTTATTTCTTATAGGTTCTGCTTTTAAATTTATTAAGTAGGATTAGAACATGATTCAGTTTAATGATAATCTTGCCCCACCATTGAAATCAAACACTTCTGAGTTATCTAACTAATATCCAATGAATTATGAGGGACAGACTATTTCCAGCCCTTCGGGACCTCTATAAATTGTTTCCTCTAATCCTTTTGGTAGCTATTCTGTCATCTCAAGTCATTTCTTTACACACATGTGCTAATCAGGACTCAGTCAGATAGTAAAAGGGGACCCTCTGCAGATCCCCGGAGTTCTCTGGGAAGCTTTCACTTTCCCTGTAGTCTTTTCTCCCTTAAGGTGGCTGTGAACTTCCTAGATTCCAGCAACCTCTTGTGAACCCAAGGAGTCTGACAACTTCAGTCTCCTGCATTCCTCTCTCTATCCTGCAACCTGGAAAAAATTTCAGATAATAAGCTGGGGAATTATAATGCTTATCTCATTTTTTTCCCATTACTTAGAAAGGGACCACTGTCCTTTGCTCTCACATCCAATGTTTTGAGAGCTGTTGTTTCATATATTTGTCCAATTTTTTATTGTTATTTTAGTTGAGATTATAAATCCAGTCTCTGTTACCCCAATTTGGCTAGAAACAGAAATAAGTCCCCTTACTTCTTTTCTCTTTTTGAAGCTTACTAAAATTATCTCTCGAATGGTTATAGAGGAGAAAGGGTGCATGCAATTAGAATGCCTTGATAAATCTACCATGTAAATGGAATCTAAAATTTTAATATTTGCTAAAAATTGAAAAAAGTTTAGATAATGCAAGTACATCAAATAATGAACTTGGTATAAATTGAGAGTATTAATTCCATTATAACTGGGCTCTTAAGTCTAAAATTTACTCTAAAATTTCTTTTCCATGTGGATAGTCTCCAGATTTCAACTTCAACTCTCCAAGCATAATTCACTACTTTGGAGGTTAAACAATTTATTATTGGATGAGCTTTAGTCATATGTCTATTTTGCAACAACTACTTATTGAGTGTCTAGAATTTTCCAGGCAACATTCTAGGCTCTGTCTATACAAACATAAACAGAATATATATACTTTACTCTCTTGAGGAGCTCACATTGAAATCTTGTAGCCAGACATGTAAACAAATAATAGCAACACAACTGTTAATTTCCATAGCCAGCACATGTTGAAAATAATATATTTTCTCTAACAGAACAAAGGCCTAAGTACTGTGGGAAAATGAGTGCATTATAAATGGTTTGATTAAGCCTTCATACAAGGGTTATGTTGAAGAAAAGCACAAGATGAGGTTCAAAATGAAAAGTCAAATAAAGAAGGATTTTTATCAATAAAATACATTAAAAAAAATAAAAACTTTAAAATAATGACCTAAAAAAAAAAGAAGGATCTTGACTATCATTCTAAAGAATCTAGGTCTTAATTATGGATAAAGAAAGAACTCTTAAAAGCTGTTAAGTAGAAATGTGCTATGGTCAAATTTGCATTACACCAATCTCCCTGAAAAAGGGAAATCAAACGGGTTAGCAGGTGTCAGCAAATCATAGGCCAAGGGCCAATCCAGCCCACCATGCTTTTGTGTCATCAATAAGGTGTCATCAGAGTACAACCACACATATTTGTTTACATATTATGCTACAATTATAGACTCGAGTAGTTACAACTTGAGTAGACCATATGTCCTATAAAGCTGAAAGTATTTACAATTAAAGACCTTACAGAAAAAGTTTGTAGGCCCATCGGTTAGTGTGAGTCAAGAATGATTTCAGAAACTAATTAGAAAGGTTTTGGTAATAATTCTAATGGGGCACTATAAGAGCCTGACATTTAACAGGGGTTCTCAAATGTTTAGTATTATTGGACCACAATTTTCACTATTTCCTTCAGCATTAAATCAAAATCAGGAGGCATTTTGTTAACCAACAACTGGTGTCTGCGAATAAAGCAGTATGTGGGCGAAGCAGTGTGGAGATTGGCAGCGCTGCTTTATTCATTAAGCTATGCCTCTCTCCATGCACACGTTGCTGTGCTCCTTTGAAATGAGCCTGAAGCACCTTCTCCAATTTACATCATGGTTCATAAAAAAGACTATCTTTCTTTTGTAGTTTAGGTGTTCAGAAGTGAATATAATATTAAGTTATTGAGTATATATCTTTCCCTGCACATATATTAAGAATGGATTCCCACTCTGGAGTATTATCCAACTATGACTCAAAATCTCTTCACCACTACCCACTATAGTATTTCTCTTTCTGATTGCGTGCTATTGATATACAAAGCCAAATGGTGTCATTTGATAGAGAAATTTTGCCAACAGCTTGCCTTGTTTTTTTCTGAGCGTAATATTTGTCACTTTGCAGATGGTTTTATGTGTTTCTTGGCAATGTGTGACTTGCAAATGGTTTTACTATAAAAGAAAGAATAAATTTTGATCATTTTTGATTTTAGCAGAAAAACCAACAATTCAGTGCTAAAAAAGCACAATTTTGTGATTGTTCTGGAGAAATTTGATTGTTTTATGAGGTCATTTTACTTTTAAAATGGCATACACATCTTCATGGCTTTAGGTTGTTATTTGACTGTATTTTACAAGACAATATCCTGAAGATTAAAATGGTCCCTAGTTGGTTGAATAAAACTCAATTTTCAGTTATTACATGTCACATGTTTGATTTCCAATTTTCTTTATCATTTTATTCCTTTTTTTAAAAAAGATTTTCTTTCTTTATTTGTAGAGATAGGGAAGGTAGGTAGAAAGAGAGAAAGAGAAACATCAATGTGAGAAAGAAACATTGATCAGTTGCCTCTCGTATATCAGCCAACCAGGTACCAAACACACCAGTCAGGCATATGCCCTGACCAGGAATTGAAATGGAGACTTTTTGCTTTGTGGAATGACACCAAACCAACTGAGCCATAGTGGTCAGGGGTCTTTATAACATTCTTTGAAGACATCACGATATATTCTCTTATTCCTACATGCACAGATTTACTCTTTTTAATTTCACTGAACCATTGTTCAATATCTAAAATTATGGCATTGTTCTGAGTGTTGTTATTTGATTTTCAAGACTTTGAACTTCAATGAGAAACTTTTGAGCCATTTATAATGTTGAAAAAATGGGGACTTAACACAATCTATTAAAATTTTAAAACACAGTTTTTAATACATGTGAGATTTACAATAATATGTAAGAGTTAACTAAGATGAACTCTCTTGATAAAGGCAGCTGAGGTAAACTGATAAACACATATTTTCCAGCACCTTGCCAACTTTTAATAAAGATGAGTAAGCACATGCTAAGATTTTGATGATAATCTTAATCAACTTTATTTTTCAAATTCTTAAAATGTAAGTGAAAAAATTTGCACAATAATTTTTTCCCCAAAACACCACACTCTCTGTGGATCCTTAATCAATTGACCATTTCTGAGAACGATGATTATAGCAAAACAATGATAAAAAACATACTTATAATTGTTAGTCTCATTCTTGAAAATTCAGCTGTATTAAATAATCTCTCAATCAAAAATTATTTAGTTCAAGTAATAAATTTATATTCAGAACTCAAGAATTACCTGGTTTTTGGCCATTTCTTCTTCATCATCACATTTAAGCACAATATTAACAAAACACCCAGAAAGCATAACATATAGTGCTCCAGGGGAAAGCCGGTATGAGAAGTACTCACTGCCATCCAGGAGTTAATCATTTGGTTGATGTGAGAGCATACAGGTACTTAACAAATTATAATAGAGTAGAAATAATTGAGTAGAATGGACTCAATAATCATTTAACACCTAAGTTAGAGGTGTCGCTGACTTGTTCTATCAGAATCTAAAACCAATGGATGCAATAAAATGTTTATTTCCCTCCCCATTTAAAAGACTCATGTGTTAAAACAGAAATGTCGAAACTTTGGAGCTGAAAGAGCATGTATGGATACAGGCAAAACTCTTATCCAGAGAGTCGCACAGAATTAAGATATTCAGAAGTCCCAGTACACAATCCTATACTAGTAACACATCCCTTAAAGCTTCTGAAAACATGTCTTATCTATATACCTGCCAGCTGTATAAATAGCTTATAACTTTGAGAAGATGCATTAGAACATTAATAATTAAACAAGTATAACATTAAATTAAGGGCATCCCCTAATACACCTTCATAGCTGTGTTGTCTTTTTTCCTATTAAGAACAAGTAGCTGCATATTAGTAATAGGTAAATATTATAGTAAATACAGTTTATACTTGAAGATTATTACTCCCCAGGGAATAGATACTTAATTTGTGCTCATAATAATAACAACCTAATGAACGTCACATCTTTCAGGAGAGCTTAATAAACTTCAAAGAAGACAAAACAAGAATGTATGAGTGAAAGTACATCCTTAGCCTTTCATTAGGCAAAATGAGCATGAGTTCTGGCCCAGCATGGCTTCCAAAGTTAGCACTCCCAACTACAAAGCAAATGTATGCAGAGAAATGTACAACAAAAGACATAGCTTTTAAAGCTCTAGTTGAATTTCCACAAATGTTACTTACAAAAGCCACCATTCTCTGTGTTAACAAAAAGTTGTGGATCCGTTCTTCACTAAATCCTCTTTTCTTGCATAATCCACCTTGTGCACTTTAGCTTGAGTGTGTTTTATCTGACCTAATCCTGGGCTCATTCACTCTCAAATAGAAGCAACAGGATTATTTTACACTTAAACGAGATCCAATCTTTATGAGACTCGTAAGAGGACACCTGGCTGATACAGAATTTAAGTGAAAGATTAACCAGGTGCTTAAGGGACATAATTATTTCAAATATAATACAGTTTATAATAAAAAGAATTACTATCAGACCATATCAAGGATGCATTTTAAAATGCACACATTAAGTTCTAGTTTATGGATGTCTATTATGTAGATATTTTATTCATGTAATGTTTACACACCTACATAAATAGAGTATTACTTTCAAGAAAAGAATCTATAATCTATTAGTAATTTTATGATCCAAAGAGAGTGCTCATAGTTTTATTTATGTCTTTCTTTCATTTTCAGCACCTCCATGGATTAAAATGAGTTGAGTAGAGTTAGGCTTTGTGGCTTAGCAAATTAGTCTCTGGTTTTTCTTTTAATGCAGTGGACAAAAAAAGGACAATAGAAAGTAATCTAAGCCCCCATGAAGCTAGAAAGCATGGATTAGTATGAAGTAAGTCTATCTTCCTTAGCTTAGCTTTATAGGACCATTACACTAAAAATGTGTGTGTGTACTTTCATGGGTGTTGTATGCATATATATTTTACATTTGTTGAGTATGCAAACACATGTTTTCTTTGGATCTTACATTCTAGCTTACCATTACTAATGTGTTGAAGGCTCATATTTACTTTAAATACAGCTTTCTTATTTCAGAGCCTGTCAATGTCTCAACTATAAAATAAATCAAGTTAAAGCCAGTCATAGCTATCAAAATATTCTTTTGACTATAAAATCTACATAAAAATCTATACAATTGATATATTGTATATTTTTCAATCTATACAAAAAATCTATGCAATTGATACATTGGATATATTTCTTTTTGAAATTTGCACGGGTATTTTTAAAAAGAAGAAAGTATCACAAACATTTAAGAAAAATGGAGAATAATAACACAGAGATATACATCTTGTACAGTACATCTTGGCTTTTACCATCAGGAAAATGGAATGTGACTAATATGTCAGAGAGATTGGAAAGTACAACAATAGTACTTTTTTGATATATCAAGACATCAAAGTTTGTTAAAGTTAGTCATCAAAAGAAACAAAATCCATTTACATGTGGAAATAATGGAGATCAAAATACTATCTCTTTAAGTATTACTCACCTCAAGTCATATCTCAAGTGATTGAAATTTTCTCATTCCCCTGAGGCTCAGTTTCTTCACCTGTAAAATGAGGGAGTTGGAACAATTCTAAATTTTCTTTTTAGTCAACCTTACTCTCAAGTAAATAAAAGTCCATATATTCTATTGATGGAAAAATACATTCCAGATAATTATATTTCTAGTAATTTAGAGTCATATATTAATTAATGAATCTCTTGGGAACAAGTAAATTTCATAGCAGAGTTAACAGAGCTATTGAAGTAACAATAAATTCTGAGGAGCTATGTTTCTGTCATCATTCATTGCAGAAGTGGTTCCCACCAAGCTGCATGTGAGTGTAGATGTACAGAACATAAGCAATGGTAGCGAAACCTTCCAGAATGATGTTCAAGTGCAGTTACCTTACCAGGGTATAAAAAATTATGTTATGTGATTTGAAGTGCATACTATATTACCTACACTAAATTTATAAATTTCATGTTCAAAGCTAATATTTAAACATTTCTAAGAGAAAAGTAAACAATAAAAGTTGTTTATGATACCAATATTTAGTTAGCTTAACCATTTCAGTTAAAAAGAAGTGACTAATCTTTTTCTTCAGCAATATATTGCAAAATAATGAAATTACCTTAGTTTTAAAATAATGTGGCATGTTGACACAAGAAAAAGATATATATATATATATATATATATATATATATATATGTATATTAAAAACATATATGAAGAGAAATTCTGGGAATCCATTCTCTGTTGGCTCATTCAATAATGCAATAAGAAAAAACACTTCAAGATATGTATATTTCACTGTTACACATTACTCCCAACTTCTTCGATGAATGCCTCCTATCAGGCTTATTCTGTAAAGAAAATACTTTAAAAGGTTTGAAATACTTTAAAAGGTTTGAGATGTCCAACTGTTGGTAATTTGTTCCTATTGAATAGGTATCTGTTCTGATTGGTTGGTGGTCATGGTACCCTGTTTAATATTTCTAGTGTCACACTTGGAGGGAAGTAACCATAGGGGCCATGACTTCCATAAGGCTATCTTCTCAGCCATTAATTAAACAGTACTTAGTCACGATTATGTCAGTGCCTATTGCTGCATGCCTAACATTTACCTAGGGTTCAATGAGGACTTAGAAAAAACATAAAAAGAAAACATTAGGAAATGAAAAAATAATATATTCATATGCATGTATATATTTAAAATTTATATATTTATATACATACATTAAAAGGCACAAAATATACATATATAAATACATACCTATGCATATATTCTACCACACCTTCTAAAGAAAATTGTTGCTTTCACAGATGACAAAAATAAGCACAAATAAAAATATATAGAAATTGAAAATAAATTTGCAAAAACACTTTAATGCACATGTATTAGCATTAATAAAATGTAGTATAGAAAAGGGGAATTCCATATTTTGTCAGCATAGAGAGCCCAGTACTCCCAAGACAAACTTAATTAAGAAGGCTTTAAACTGCTGGGTTGTTATATGAGCAAACTGTAGAGGCTAGATCCTTTACTTTTAAATACAATTTAGTAATCCTTCCCTGCTGTTACTTACAGTTATGATCATTTATATACCAGGAACCTACAATTTATAGTTTCCATTTATGTATTAGATGACAGTACATTTTAATTATGTCAATTTCTTTCTTCTGAAGCAGAAATGTCCCACTGACATTTATTTTATTTTTATATTTATTTTTTTATCCCCACCTGAGGACATTTTTTCACTGTTTTAAGAGAGAGAAGGAAAGTGAGAGTGAATGAGAGAGAGAGAGAGCATGCGAGAGTGAGAAACAGCTATATGAGAGAGAAACATCAATCTGTTGCCTCTCATAAGCATGCTGACAGAGAATCAAACCTGCAACGAGGGCATGCGCCCTTACCAGGAATCAAACCCACCACCTTTTGGGATGATCCTACAACCAACTGAGCCACAACAGCCAAGAATCCACTGACATTTATTTATTGAGGATCAATATGTAGATTTGTAAATATTTTCTTACAATTGAAAAATGTTTTTTGTAGAAAATTTGACAAATTCAAAAATCTTTAAATCTGAATGATATCACCAAAGAGAATAAGTTATAATATTTGCATATCTTCATTGCCTTATATAGATGCATACACATATTTTTGTATGTGTTTATACAAACACTATTTTGATAGCTGCAAAATTTTGTTTTGTTAAATTTGAGAGAGGACAGAAGACTTTGCCTTTGGGGATGTACAAATCTTTCATTTGGTAAAACTCAATAAACCCTTAATTATTGAAAGATAAAGATCTGACTGTGGCATGGGAAGTTTGAGATTAAAAGAATCTATGATTTTCTAGTTAATAGTATAGAAACTATTTTTTCCTGGGATCCCTGATTGCACCTCTGCATATATAATAGAGAGGGGGTCCAGAGGCTTGAGCTGAAGACAAAACACTTCAAATCTATCCTCTCTTTCACAGAGAATTGTTGACTCTGAACACTTGTCTTTTTCCTTTTCATTAAAATAACTTTATATTTATTCAAGGAGGCACATGACCCTGTAGCTACATGGTCTATTTGAATAAGGTTTGGCCAATGAATTGTAACTAGACATGTTGTGTAGCCCTATCAAAAGAAATCTTCATCCACAAGAATAAGCAGGCCCTCTTTCCTCCTTCAGTCTGAGTAGAGTGAAAAAGTGAACACTGAAGTTCAAATCTCCAACTTGGAAACTGGCAGGGGCACACATTATGACAGAGAGGAAAAATATGATCATGGTCACCCACTGCAGACTTGTGCAACCTACCTTCTGAATTCTTTTACAGTGTTATTTTGGGGTTTACTCTTAGAGAAGAATTCATTTCATAACTGATAAATTTTCACTGGGATGGAGAAGACTGGAGAAGACTGGAGGGAAGTTATTCAGAGAGGGATTTGGATAGGGAAAGGAGACTTACTGGTGACCATGACATAGATAAAGGAGACAGACATGATCTTCTGAACATTTTAAGTTCCTTTTCTTATCACCAAGACTTCAGTGAAGTACAGGGACATGTTTATGTTCTGGTATTAGCTATATTTTAGGAAAGTGAGAAATACACCTGTTTACACTTAGAATGTGGAGAAGCAGTTGTATAGAAATGAATGATTTTGTACGGTAATTACAAGAGTGATCCGAAGTGAGCTGAGAGCTGATTTAACCAGGGGCACTGGAGATGGATTTGTGAAACATTCAAGCATTCCTCTGGTTTTCTCAGAAATAATTGTTGAGGAAATCCCACTACAATCTTGGACTTTGAAACATGGGATGACTTGTTTTCCAGCGGATTAATGATAGAAAATGATAATCCTAAAGATGAAAGAGTGGAGATGTGGGGTTATTAATATAAAAGCATAGAAAAACTTTGACATGTTATCATTATTGTTATTGGGTTGGCCAAAAAGTCCATTTTGTTTTTTCTGTAAAATGAAAGACATGTTTTTCAGTTTCACCAAAAACTTTATTGATTTGGATATTTTGAGTATGCTGGTTATCTCCTGTGGTATAACATTGATTGCTCTCAATTAATGCCTCAATTTGATTGCTATCAACTCCAACTGGTCTACTCAACTGTAAAGCATTATCGAGAGAGAAATCTCCAGCATGAAACTTCGCAAACCACTTTTGACATGTCTGATCAGTCAGAGCACCTTCTCCACACACTGCACAAATCTTTTTCTTGCCTTTCAGTTGCATTTTTAGCTTTCTTGACATAATAAAGTATAATATGCCAAAATGTTGCATATTTTGTTCCATCTTCA